AATAATAATAATAAATAACTTAATATGTCTAGTCATCAACAAGTTGCAGATACCTGGAGTGTAAGTGCGATGAAGTTGATTAAATGTAACAACGGCCTGCCATACATGCGAGCTTCCGCATGCCTCTGAAATGATCTGCTGAATACCCCAGCAAGTATTTATTGTAATATTGCAGCAGATCCTTTGATCCAATATGGCACCTTTAAAGATGGCGACCATGTTCTGGACATAGCCTAAAGAATTACTTGTTGGGGTTTTCAGACATTACATTTTCTCGTTTCTTTCTGGAATATAAGTGTGTCCTGAGACTTCTGACTTAACCCGTATAACATTTGAGCTGCACAGTGGATTAGTGGTTTGCACTGTTGCTTCAGAACAAAACGACCCTGGGTTTAAGCCTCGGGTTGGGCCATGTGAACGTGGACCGAGTGGGAACTTAAGAATAACCCGAGCTGAGGTGGATTTCTTCAGTGTGCAGCAGCTCTGTGGTTTAAAAACGACACTTTGGTGTTAATGTAGCACTGTTGGAGGTGACACGGGAGTGAACAACACAACTCACAGTCAGCGTTTTTGAGGGACTGCTTCTTTTTGGAGGGCTTGGAGATGACTTTGATCCTCTTGCTGAGGAAGACGCCGATGTCCGCGCTGTTGCCGTAGAACATCTTGACAGATAACATGAAGTGCTTTCTCTTGTCGGAGTCGGATATGTACAAGGTTTTGGCTGTGCAATAATTCTGGTCGATGAGGCAGAAGAAAAAGAAAAAGAGAGAGAGTTAAAACTGAAAACGGCTACTTCCCCAGTGTTTAAACTCAGTCTGGGTGTGGCTACGTGTTAAAATCCAGAGTTTTCAGCCTGATCTGTACCTTTCCCTCTAAGTTGAGCTGTTGCATTTCTTGCTCGCTGTTGCCGATGCCGATGAAGGCACACGGCTGCGACTCCTGGTCGGTGCAGCCGTCTCGCTCCATCTGCTCCTTCTTTTTCTTCCAGCCGCTGCCCATCAGGTACACACAGGGAGGAGGGCAGAAAAACCTGCAAACAAGAACGTACTTCAGCTTCTCTTGGATCTCAGGGGTGTAACGGTACAGAATCTGATGTTCGATCAAATACACAAGTGTTTTTGTTTTTTTACTAAAGTTCACGACAGAAAAAGAGAAGAGGAGGATTTTATTTAAAGCACTTTACATCAAAGCAAAGCAAGAAGGGCTGGTTCAGAATAAAAGCTTTACAGTAATGTAAACGTGAGCAARTATTTTTCTACTCGGTAACAAACTGGCTTTACCTCACATCTTGTGAAGATAAACAACTACCAATCATAAAAGGTGTTTTTTACTCAACAACTGATCGATTTTGTACCAACACTGTTGTTTTTACCCAAAGACAAAACATTTATCACAATATTAAACACTCCTCTCACCCCGACATGCAAATCTGACTAATATTAGATTTTTGGCTAAAAATTCATACAAGAGCCTTTCAGTGCTAATCAGCAAAACAACCAAAGTCCTTTCATTTTCATTAACAACATAAATACTGTAGTACAGGGAAGTGGTTTTCAAACTTTTTAGCTTCCGGCCCAAAAAATACCAGCTGCAGAAACTTGTGATGCCAGATATTCCCATTTTAAATATGCTAACTTTGTTAATGACTCTGTTGAACAAGAGCATAACAATACAAACAAACCTAGTAACTATGATATTAATTTTATTATTAATGTACTTTAGCAGAAATTATGGTAAAAATATTCCATTAAAAATTTATTTATATTTATATTTAGGGATGTCCTGATCCAGATTTTTTTGTCTCCCGGTACAATCTGATTTTTTTAATGATTAGTCTTTCTGATACCGATCCGACAGCTTTATTTCTTTATTTCTTTCCCAGTGACAAGGTTGGTAGTATTAAGGCGAACCCTGCTGTTCCCACCACGAGAAACATCCAGTTTGCAGATTTCGCAAGATGCAGTTTCAGCATCATTGTTTTCCATTGAAAAGTGTTCCCACACTGTGGACATGGTTGTATACTTGTGTGCGTCTTGACTTCTTAATGGCAGCTGTAAAGCAAGATGATGCTGAAAACTGTCGTGAAAACTGGATCGGCCCGATCACATGACTAAATCTGATTCTACCAGATTTTCAAAAAATGGCCATATCTGCCACCGATACTGATACTGAGTATCTGATCGGGACATCCCTTTCTATATTAATTCTGGAAATCATCAGGGGACCTCCATTTAATGTTTAATGGCCCACAGAGGGGGTCTCGACTCGAACTTTGGGAACCACTGATATGGATGAGGTGCCCTAAAACTAAAACCTGTTTCAGTTTGTGGCAGATGGCAAACCAATAAAAAACAGATGAAAATTGGATAATCATGTAATTATTTAGATTTCCTTTTTAAATATAAGTTCCTCCCCTTTCAGCTGCTCCCTCTTCATGGGTCACCACAGTGATTCATCCTGCTAAAACCACCCCCATGTCCTCTCTAACTGCATGATCCATATATCTCCTCTTTTTTTTCCTGGCATCTCTAACAACCCTGGACATGTCCAAACCATCTCAGTCTGCTCTCATTATCTTTTCCTCCCTTTAACCTGTGCTGTACCTTTGATGACCTCATTCCTAAGCTTACCCATCCTTGTTCCAAAACACACAACATAGGTCTCACTACTGCTTATAAACCTTTCCTTTGATATTTGCTGCCATCCTTTTATCACAAATCACCAGGGGAATAAATCAACAGCTTTACCACAATACATTATTATATCAATTTGAATGAACATCTGCAGTCGGTAACGTCTGTTAAACCAAACTGTGCATCTTTAGTTTGATCAGCAGAGGGCAGCGTTCTGTCAAACATCGCTTACATCAGCGCTCCCAAGCAGACTGAGCTTCGCAGAATGCAGTTTAACAGATGTTAACACCATCAATCAAACTGAGAGGTTAATCTGCAGAGAAACAAACGGAAAAAAAATCACTTCTGCTTAATAAAAATAGCCTTGCTTGATTTGAAAAGAMTCATTAAGACGAGGGACGGATTGAGTTTTGGAATGAGCTTTAAATGCAAACAAATACACTTTTAATGAGTTCGTGTGAGACGGTGGAGAGAAACTTGTCAAAACAGCAGTGTCTGTCTGTGGGTGTTTGAACAGAGAGAGAAAGAAAGAGCGACATTCAACGCACCCACTTTTTTTAAATGTCTTATCAAACAGAAAGAGGAGTTGCACTCTCATTCAGAAACTTTCACCTGAAGTGACGATGTCAAAACCTGAAGCGAAGCCGACAGAAAGAACCCCGCCCCCTTCTTCGCTGATGTCACTTTAACTGAACAAACTCCCAAACATTATCAGAGGAATTTCTCTTTTTTCCTAACACTGCGCTCCAAGTCTCCCGAGGTGTCCCAGAGTTCAACATCTGATTTACGGAGCGACGGAGGCCCTGATGAGATCACAAGTGGTGCTGCGGCGCGGCCAAAAACACAAGAGGAGGGATGGAGAGGACTGTGGAGGGAGCAAGAGGAGGATGGRGGGATATAAAAAGTTGTAGAGTGAAAGGTAGAATGGTGACAAGAGAGTTACAGGACGGCTTTGAATAAGAAAATGTGAGATGCAAGAACTGTTACGTAACGAGGGGTCAAAATATCTGTGAAACTACATTAAAGGAACAGTTGGAACATTTGTGAGTCAGATCAAACCCACATTATTAGCGTTAAAGTGAAAGGATGTGACAAAATAACTGGAGGCGGTGATTCTGTTCTGAATCAAACTAGTCACAAGTTAAATCTCAAGTTTATACACTTCATTTATGCCTGTGGAAAATACAGAGGTTATGAATAACAGGGTTCCTACAAGGCGTTTTAAGCAAAAACACTCTTTAACATTCCCCAATCTCATCTAGTTCAACTGGTCCCATTCCAGGACATCCCAAGACTTGTAGCTGAACACCTGCTAATGAAACAAAGGCTTCAGGTACACAGACATGTGCTGCTAGTTMTGCTAGCCAGAGATCTTTTTCTTTGCATCTCACTAATCCAGGTAAAAATATCGAAAAYTGAATAGGCCGAGTTTTTTTTTGCTGTTGAACATGTTTCGTCTCTCCTCCAGGAGACTTCTGCAGTCTGAGGAGTTTCAGGTAACTCAGCCTTATAAGCAGTACTTCCACATGATGGACAAACAAGTTTAACGATAACTATCAAAACTGGTGTTCATGTGCAAATGAGGACCATCAGTCAAACGATCGTTAGTGACCTGATCATCCCTATTGTTCACAAAGGGCTGAGTGATACTCACAATAACAGCACTGTAACAGGGAGGCGCCCCTGTTCAACGACGAGTGGTTTCTCTTCACAAAAATGGCTTCCTTTACTCCTCTCTCAAACCAGCATTCCTCTCTATCAAGGATGAGAACATCTTCATCCCTGAAAGAGTGACCGCTGGCCTGTAGTTGAGTGTAAACTGTCCTTACACTTAACAGCATACACAACATTAGTCTGTTTCTTCTCCAAGAAATGAAACGTTTTCAACAAAGAACCTGTCTAGACGACCTACTTGACTTTTTATTTTAGATCTTTATTTTCTTTCTAATCTAGTGGACCAATATGGAGGAGGATAAACATATTCTGACAACAACTGTGATTATAGTTTCCACTTCATAATCCTTTCAAAATAATCTACAATGGAAAAAAAAGAGCTGGGACGCTCATGGGTTTTTCCTTTTACCTACTCATATTCAAATGTGAGTGTGGAGTAGTAGGCCCTTAAATTAACCATTAGGATACCATTTCAACTATTTTACATGAACTTCTTAAAATCGCAGCTTCTCCCTAGTTCCTACACATTTTTTGTTTTCAAAATTTCACACTTTAAGACCGTCATTTTCAGATTTTTTTCTAATGACTTTTAAACATTTTTTATTAAATTGTCAAAGCATTTGTAAATTTATCGTGTTTTGATGGGTGTTGTATTTGTATACATGTTTGCGTTTGTAGAATGAATAAAATTTCGTCATCATAAAACACTTTGCTTCGAGCATCTTATAAACCTTTACTCTGATGTCAATTTCACCTTACATGGTTCATTACACAGAACTCAGTGGCTATTTGTAAATATAATAGAAGCAGCAGCTGCTAGCAGTAGATGTTCCTGTGTAGCCTGAGATGAAGATGAAATTATATGAACTCTCTTCAAGTCCAGTTTTGTTTATGTTGAATGTGGTAAACAGGTTAAACCTTTCTAAAACGTCTGTTTGGTGTTGATACTGAGTGTTCTGTAACCACAATATGGATCCAAGGGCAAACAGTCAATAWGAAGCATCATCATCCTCAGATTTCCTGCTTTTTGGGAGGTAATAAAAATGTGAACAARGATCAACTCACCTTTTCTCGTTGCCGTAGGATTTCTGTGCAACTTTAGCGTGCAGGATCATGACRGTTTGGTCGCCTCGCTCCTTCAGGTAGTTCCTCATCGCTTCTCTGCACAACGACACAAAACAGGAAAAAATTAAATAAATAACGAGCTGTTTTTATTATCTGGAAGACAATCGTAACTCAACTCTCAGATTAACGTCAGAGTCGCCACRGATTTTTAAAAAGATGCCAAATCTAAAATTCCAACTTAAATAAACCTGTGAACTGAACTCACACTGACCTCCCAAAAGGATCAGAATTTGAGCAATCTGCTGGCCAAAAAGTTCTGTTCTCCCCCAGATGTGTTCATTTAAGGTGGAGAGGAGGGTTTGAACTGTTAATGGTTGGCTCAGAGGGACGGCAAGGAGTGAGGGAGAGGAAAACAGATGGGCGGGGGTGAACGAAGAGAAAACGATCGCTGAGTGATGAAAAAACAACAGAGCTGAGCTCACCGGCTACAACTTCCTGTTTGAGGACTCCTCGCTCCAATTACTTCTGACAAACACTTCCACGTCCTCTACCAACACAAGCATTATAAGTTCAACGCTCTGAGAGGCTGTCGGAGCTTCTGGATGCACGATGAAGACGCCTCAGACGCTAACGCAGCTCGACTCCCCKTCTGCACACAGGCACAGATGCGTGGGACACCTGACACGGCGCTGCGCTCACAGGGAGCCAACATGGAGGTTTCCACTCGGACACACAATCACACCAGGCTGGGAGCTCCAGTTAGACCGGGTGGATGAATCTACTTCTATTCAACCTGGCTAATAATCAAACAAGAGCACTGCCAATGGTACATATTACACCCCCTCAGTTTCTGTTATGTATATACTGTATATATATACTGTATATATACATACATACATACATACAGTTGGGTCTATATCTATTTGGACAYTGACACAAATTGAAGTTACATTTATATAATGGAAATGAAGTCCAGACAATCATCTTTCACTTGAGGGTATCCACATTAAAATTGGATGAAGGGTTTAAGAGTTCAGCTCCTTAACATGTGTCACGCTGTTTTTAAAGGGACCAAAAGCAATTGGGACAATTGACTCAAAGGTTGTTTCATGGGCAGGTGTGGGCAGTTCTTGTGTTTCGCCTTTCTCAATGAAGCAGATAAAAGGCCTGGAGTTAATTTGAGGTGTGGTGCTTGCATTTGAAAGATTTTGCAATGAAGAAAAGGGAGCTCTCCATGCAGGTGAAAACAAGCCATCCTTAAGCTGCAATAACAAAAAATAAATAAAAAACATTCAAGAAATTGCTACAATATTAGGAGAGGTGAACTTATCAATGCAAAAAGACCTGGGCGCCAACACAAGACAACAGTGGTGGATTATTGCAGAATAATCTCCATGGTGAAGAGAAACCCCTTCACATTTTTGACCTTTGACCCCATAATCTTGAACTCAATAAGGATCGTTCTAGACCCATGAGGTGTCCAGTTGGACAWTTCTTTGTAAGGTTGTGAATTTAGAGCTCGGACAARAAAATTTCCAGAYAGAGACAGATGTTTCTGTAACATTAGACATGCTGTCCACTGGCAGACGTTTTAAAACTACATAAAGACCTAACCCTAACCTGAACATAGTCTTACTTTTACTGCACTGTAGAGTTACAGAGGTGTYAAACACTAATTCTACCCATTCTTGTCACACTTTAAGGCTGTCATTTTCAGACTTTTTGTAAATGAATTTTATACATTTTTTAATAAATTGTCAAAACATTTGTAACACTCTGAAAGAGTAGCCGCTGGCCTGTAGATGAGTGTAAACTGTAGAGTCCTTRCACTTAACAGCATACACAACGTTAGTCTGTTTACTCTGTACCGGGTAAGTACAAATGTATAGGTAGGTCTGTCACCATGACAAATTTTGCTGGATGATAAACTGTCTCTGAAATTATTGCGATAAAAGATAAAATTGTTTGGAGACTATTTTAAACAAATATAGTGATCACAATGATTCACACCCATCAACACATGAAAATTATCAACCTCATTTTTATTTACTGGGCAATTAATTATTTGAGATATTTTTATTCACAAGGGAAGCAAAAATACTTCTAAAAAAAACAACCAAAACATAAAAGAATCAATCACAATCAGGGTTAGCTCTCAATGTCTTGGATTTTTCTGAAAATTCATCTCGTTCAGTTCCAACAGTAAGTTAACACTTAAATTATTYATGGAGAAATTTCACGACACTGTGATGAAAAAGTAAAATTATGCTCCATTACGTTATTTAAAGCCCCACTTGTTCTGACTGAGACAAAGCCACCTCACTGTTGACTGCAAGCTTGACTTGAAATAGGTGTGCATATTCTTTCAGCTGGTTTCCTTAATGCTGAATACTGGTATTCATCTCATCCGTTAATATTTGTGCATATGCAACAACTTTGCTGATATTGAGTACTTTTATTTTTTTCCTGAGGCAGGTTCTCCAGACCCCCTTCATCGATTGCTTGGTCCCAGCCCTCTACTTTTCAAAGTAGCCTCCAAATCCTGCAGAATCCCATACTGGTGTTGGTTGAGTTAGGTGGGACAGCTTCGGCAAATCGCCAGCATGTGGCTTACGTAGTTGTAGTTATATTGTCCAGTTGGACTTTTTTTGTAAAATAATTTCTCCATAGYTCTGTTTATAAGTGCGTGTGTAACAGTGGGAGTCCGCAACATCTGGGTATATCTGCTCATTTTAGAYCACTTCACCATCATCTCCTCTACCTCTCTCCAGAAAAGGTTTGCAAGTTCTGCCTTGGTTAAGTCAACCCACGGGCAGCAGTCTGCTGATGTCAAATCAGTAGCGTGAAATATTCAGTTTCAGCATGGTTGGAACCAGAAGTGAAGATATATCTGGCAGACGCTGAATCAATGAGAGCCTCTTCAATGCATGAACCTGGAGAAGGGTTTTAAGCGATTGGTTCTCAATCCTTGTCCTTGAGGGCCAACATCCTGCATGTTTAGGTGTTTCCCTTCTTCATCATACCTGATTTGAATAAATGAGTAATTAACAGGCTTCTGTAGAACTTGAAAACCTGTTAAAGAGCAGGAACRCAAATAAGAAATGCAGGTTGGTGGTAGGGGTGTAAGAAAATATCGATACACTGAAATGTCACGATATTTCATTTCCYGATACTGTATCGATAATCTAAAGCCCTGTATCGATTTTTTATTAAGGTTTAAAATGTCTACTTTCCTGCCAACCATTCATTTTATGTTGTAGTTCAGCCTCTGACCACTAGTTGGCAGCAGTGAGCCAGCCATTTGGCTCCTCTTCCTCTTGAGCACCAGAGAGTAAGAGAGCATTAGCATTGAAGTAAGCATTAGCTTCATGCTCCGTTAGCTGAATCTGAGCAGAAAAGACCAACACCCTCTGCCTTCTAAGCTGAGGTAAGGTTACAAACAGTTACTTATTTGTCAGAATGTCTGTATTTAAGCCAAATAACAACATAAAGGCTATTGTTAAGTGTTTGATGAACATATGTAAATTAATATTAAAAATGAAAAGCTGCAAAAAATATATTTTCAAACTATTTATTGGCAAATTTAGTGTGAAACAAATAAAATAAAACACATACAAAGCAAAACACAGCTAAATGTATCAAATGTATGTCTATGTAATTAATATTAGAATTTTCTGAGACAATGAATTTTGGTTTTTCGTTTTTTTTTTCCAGTAAGAGGTTTTTATTTAATAGAATTTTTGGACCAAAAATATCGCAATATATCGCCTTGTTTACAGTATCGGGATAATTCGTATCGTGACCCCTCTGTCATGATATGTATCGTATCGCCAAATTCTTGCCAATACACAGCCCTRGTYGGTGGCCCTCGAGTACCACATCAGCGAGRCTAAAGAGTGACCATAACCATGATGATGAAGCTGGAAATACTTTGGTYCAAGATGAYGTTTTKGTTAGGTTTTGTTTTTACTCATATGGGTACTTACTACACTTTATGAAGAACTTACTAAAGAACTTCTAAAATAATCTGAATCTATAAAGATGCCTGACATGTGGAAACAGTCAAAAGAAACTGAATCATTTATGACCAAACAAACACAAATCCAGACAAGCTTTGTTCAAAGCCACAGACTGGTTTAATGTGCATTTCTCCAATGAAACTTGAACTTTATAAAGTTACCAATTACTTGAGGCTGATTTTTGACTATTATATAAAAAAAACAACCCGTTCGAATGAACAATTAATAACACATGTAATGAAAGAAAAAATGCATTGGGGTTAAAACACTGGATATCAGCAATTATTTAACCACAATTCATGCTTTATTTATGTGTGTTTGTGTCAGATAGCCAACATGCTTCAATGAAAAATAAGTATTTTCTGCACAAAACAAAAATTAAATCACAGATAGGAGATGATTTTATAAACAAACAAGATCAATATCCAAGAAACAGAATTAAAGCTGTTCTAACCATTAGCTGGTTAAGAGGAAGGCAATAAAACAAAACTTAAGTAATCAGCAACTGCGAGGTTTTCCAGGGACATCAGCTTTCTCTCACACAAAGCTTAACACACAGACATAAAATCAGACCTGCAGGGAGTTCAGTCACTGAGCGCAAAACACAGAAGGAGAAGTGTGAAAGACGGTGACCAGCACAACGCAGCTCAACTCAACTTCCTGTGCAAGAAATAGCCTGCAGACTTCAACATTTAAAATAAYGTATTTGTGCAGTTTGACAATAAATTTTATTAAAGTTGAGAGAAATGCTTGAACTGATYGGCAACAAATACTGCAAGAGCACCTTAAATGTGACAATGAAGAYGCTAATAATTAAATAATCTGGTGTAATTAACTCAAACGACTGTGGAACTTTAAAACACAAGCTTTACTTTTCATCAGGATTTATTTTAGTGAAAAGAAGCTGATGAGAAAGAGTGACTGAAGAGATAAAAAAAAAACAGGGAAATGAGACAAAAATGTGTCAAACACAGAAATTATGTCCAACAGTGTGTGTGTGTGTGTGTGTGTGTGTGTGTGTGTGTGTGTGTGTGTG